CCCTTCCCTTCTGCTTCCCCCTTTCTCTCCCCAGTCCTTTCTGACCAGGTCTTGCTGGAATTTGAGATCCTCCTGCCTCAGCCTCCCAGAGTGCTAGGGTTACAGGGGCGTGCCACCACTCTGGCTTGTTTTAGAACTTTTTGAGGGGAGAGATTGTCTTGTGACTGCTGTACACTCACCTAGTACCTGAGCTCAGGTTATTACTGACATATACTGGTGCTCAATAACCTTTGTCAAATTAGGGAACCTATGCACCCAGCCACTCACCTGCTTAGGCACAAGAGAAAACAGAAAGGTAATATATCTTTACAACTTCTTTTTTTAATTTTTTAAATTTTTCTTTACAACTTCTTTGCAATTCATTATCATTTTACTAAGGGGTTTGAAGTAAACTGTTGTTTATTTGGATCTTAATAATTTACAATTTATGAAGGTAAAATCTGAGGGAAAAAGTGCTTGCTAAAAACAAAAATAACACTTGAATGATGTAAGGTGGGGTATTAGTTTGTTAGGAAAAAACCCAGTAGATGGCACAACAGAAAGAGCCAACACTCTGAAGTCACTAAATGATTGAATAAAACTCATTTCGCGTTCCTTTTCCTAGGCTCTCTCACACCTGCTGCTCAGCACTTTGAAAATCATTTTTTCCCATTTAAGGAGCACACATTTCCAGATGTTACCCCACCCAACATCTGCTGTGCTTCTGCTCTCACTCCTTTTCGTCAGGGATTAGCATCGCCACTCTATAAACCCTAATAGCAGTAGTGGGACTAATAAAGGCTTCAGTTCATGGGCCCACAAGTTCTCTCCGGGTCCTGAAACCTCACGTACACAGCAGTCACTGTGTCTGTCTCAAAATGGATGTAAAATTAACGGGAGCAAAACCTGAACAGAGGTCAGAGGCCTGTTCCTGCCTGTTTGAAACAATGACGGGACACAATGACACTTTCAAGGGCTTCAGCGTCTGCTGATCAGTTAATCCCTAGTCGACTCCAGTTTATGCATAGTCACAAAATGTTGAATTTATACCTTCTTGCCTTTTTCTAATCTACATCTTAAATATCACTAAATACTTACATTCTTGCTGTTACAGTTCTAGTTTATATAAATTATTCTAATACCTTGCATGAATTTGGGCCCTCTATTTTTATTCCTACTCTGTTTACGATGGACAGATTTTATAAGTCCACACAGGTGGCTCTGACTTCAGTCTGACTCTAAGCAGACAAGCCGGAACAAAGGCTAAAGGAGACATAATTGGAAAAAGACACGGTTCCTACCAGATAACGGCCCGTGGCGCTGAGAGCGCCTGCCAGCCTCAGTACCTCCCAGCTATCCTTACTCCTTTACAGTCTTGTCCTCAACCCAGGCCAATGCCTGGAAGAATCTTGGAATATTTCCTGTAGAGAACATTTCAGAACAAAGAAGTAATTCTTCATAGTAAGGGGACCAAGTAGAGTAGGCAACTGGAAATTAAATTCACTTGAGTATAAAAGAAAGGCAGGAGAAAGAAGAAAATGAGAAAACAGTGTATTCTTTAGTAACGCATACATTAAATTTTATTGTCACACTAGAGAAATAGAGAAATGCAGTAAAATAACTTGAGAGATAAAGGCTAAGAGATATGAACTAGACAAGGGAACTGTGTCACGTGTGACCACTCGTAGCAGTTTAGAAGGGAGGGGAACTGAGGAAGGCATGGGCAAACATGATGTTTTCAGTGTTATTTCTTTCCAAGGGTCCTTTACTTTTCCTTCAAAAATTATAAACTTTTGGGCCAGGGATTTAGCTCAGTGGTTCCGCTGCCTGCTTTGCAAGCACAAGGTCCCAAGCTCGATCCCTGGTGCCAGAAAAACAAAACAAACAAAAAAACTCCTTTTTCATTCATTCTTATCTTGTCTGTTAGTAGACTGCAGTTCTAAAAAAAGCAGAGACTGTGGACTGTTTATATTTTCGATTACCCAATTTGTATTTGTTGGATAACTGAACAATCCAAGCATTAGAATCCAGGGATTCCCACCCTATACCAGGAGTGTCTCTTCCCCGTGGGAGACTTGCGGGCCTCACACCTCACTCACTGCCTTTCCCTGTCTGTTGCCACAGTGGAGCCGAGGGTGAGCATCTCCCTATCCAAGACAGAGGCCCTGAACCACCACAACCTGCTGGTCTGCTCGGCGTGGGATTTCTATCCACAGCAGATCAAAGTCCAGTGGTTCCGGAATGGCCAGGAGGAGACATCTGGCGTCGTGTCCACCCCTGTTATTAGGAATGGGGATTGGACCTTCCAGATCCTCGTGATGCTGGAGATGACCCCCCGGCAAGGAGACGTCTACACCTGCCGCGTGGAGCACCCCAGCCTCCAGAGCCCCGTCACAGTGGAGTGGCGTAAGGGGAAACTTGTGTCCTTTCTCTGGGGGCCTGTGAGACAGAGGGCTGAGCTCCCCCTGGCCTTTCCCTTGTCTTAGATGCCACTGCTGAGCTGAGATCCACAGGAGACTACGCCCTCTCGCCCACGGCAGGGGAGTCAGAAGGACCCTCACCTAACTAGCTTTCTAGATACTAGGGAGATCACTGCATGCACAGCAGCCCTGGAGCTGGCACCAGTGGGGATGCACATGATGGCTGGGGACTTGGGTCCTAGGGCCTAACGTTACGGATGTGTGTGAGTAGCAGGTGGATATATTGGCTGCACCTTCCCTCTCCGAGGGACATTCAGAATAGTGCAGGCTTGGTGAACCCATGGCATGCATGGTGCAGCAGCTCACAGGGCCCTCCCTGTGGGTACTTGTGCCGAGTCGCCCTGGCAGCTGAGCTTTGGATGCTCAGCTTTAACTGCAGGGTCGGCACATTGGGGTACATAAGCGGGTTTTGGGTTGCAGCTTGAGCACTCATCTCTAAAAGGTTTGCCCTCACTGGAGCAGAGAGACAGCTTCCCTTGGCAGCTCCACATCTTGTAGCTCAAGTTGGACTTGAGGTCCTCACCAGGGACCCTGTGGGTGTGGGACAGATCTGACTCTCAGGCTTGCTTCCCAGGGGCACAGTCTGAATCTGCACAGAGCAAGATGCTGAGCGGCATCGGGGGCCTCGTGCTGGGGCTGATCTTCCTTGGGCTGGGTGTTTTCATCCGTCGGAGGAATCAGAAAGGTGAGCTGTCTGGGGGAAACGCGACAGGTGGCTGTGCTTGGGATCCTTGTTCAGGGAGGCTCTGTCTCTAGAGGAAGCTCTTTCCTCCTGACTCTGAAGGACACGGGTAGGTTGGTGGGAGGAGGAGGAAGGACAACCTAGGAAGAGACACTGGAATCGGATTTTACTGGTTGAAAAGGCAGCCCTGCCATGGAGCCGGCTCATTCTAGGACTTCGTCCTGCTCTCCATGAACTCCTTTCCAAAAGCTTCATCTATTAGGAGAGTCAGAGCCTTGCTTTTCCTTCCATCTCGAGATTGTTTCATTTGTGTTGGGAGATTTAGTTCCGCGTGGTTGGGCCTTGTGGAGCATGAGGAGAATACAACTCTCCAGTTTGTGTAACAAGACCTATCTCTGTGTAACTTCTTTTGTAGGAACTCGTGGGCCTCCACCTGCAGGTAATGAAGGTTTCAGCCCTGACCCAGTGTTGGGGGGCAGGGGCACAGGTGTAGGAGAGAGCGGTGTGCGTGGTAGGTGCACCTGGAAAAACAGCCCAGTTTGTGGCCTCTTCCCTGCTGTGTGGATGAGGAACGAGAGGAGGTCCCCAGTGTGCCAGGAGGCTCCAGAGATTTTCCCCAGAACCTGGTGGCATCTTTCTGTGGCACTGCTTCCCTGAGTCCTATCTGGGGTGTCAGAGACCTTGTGGCCCATGTTGGTGGTACTATCGGTGGGTGTTTGCCAGTGACTTAAAGTCTCTAGTGGGGGAGGAAGGTGAGTCACCGTGCAACTCGCTAAAAAGATCGAACCCTTCATTTTCCCCAGGAGGGTGGTGGCTGCTCGTCCACCTCCTGTCCACCTCTGTCCAGCTGAGGTCCCACGTGTCCTCTTCAGCTGATTTCACCTTTACACAGATACTGGGGGAGGTGACGGACCTGGTAGGCCCTGGACCTCAGTGTTTCTTTCCTGTTCTACCCCCTCACTCGCACAGGGCTCCTGCACTGACCCCGGACTACATTTTGACTGGGATTGGCTATCGCTCTTCAGCAAGGTCTGCTTGTTCCAGCCCAGGGTTCCCAGCTCGACGGTCTGTCCTCTTCTGAGATCAGAGTCCTGCAGTGGCTCTATTGAAGCTGCCACCTTAGCTCTGTGACCACATCCCAAGGATCTGGGCCGCTGCCTCCTGTACTGTCCCTGGACCCTCTGTCTGTGCACTGCGACACCATCTGTTTAGACCCTGCCGACTTTCTGTGCTCCATTGTCCCCTACAGACTGCTCAAAAGAAACATGGAAACCATCTGCCTGACTATAGAGCTTTTTTTCAAAATTAAATATGATTTTGAGTTATCTGTATCTGAAATCTTCTTAACTAAGCCAAGAGAAGAAAGCAGTACAGCATGAAAGGAACTTGTATTGAGATGACCCAACAAGTCTGTCTCCAGAAGTAAACTAGAGGCAGCGTGGGTGTCACGGAAGGGTGGGCCATGGAGATAGGAAGTCAACTGGTGCATCCTTCATGGTTCTTAGTCTTGCTATTCGGTGCAGTGGCCTCGCACCTTTTCAATCTCTTCTCCACTGAGTATTGTGTAAGAAAACACAGTGGGATTGTTTGGGGATAGATACAGTGACATCTGGTCATTGATGTTTCACTTATATCCTGGCCAGTCACAATTGATCAAAGCTAATTTTTGAGAAACTATAACCAGCAATAAAAGTCCTATTTGTCACTGCAAAGAATTCAAACTCAACTCAAACTTATTTTGTTCGTGTTACAAGGAAACCCATTGACCAGTTGATTTCAGAAGTTACTAGACCTAGATATTTAGTGAAATCTTCATCTTTCTTGGTGTTTAACTACGTGCCTTTCCCTTCTGATGTCTCTCTTTGTTCCTGTGTATTTCTTTATATGTGTCCTTCATCTTTGTGTCTATTTCACTGAGTCACTGTCTCTCTTTTTATCTACACCTTTGTCACTGTCTGCATTTGATTTTCTGTTTCTTTTTGCATCTCAGTTTTCTATGTCTCTTATCATCTCACATTTTATCTCATCGGTTTGTGATTCTGTCTGTATCTGTGGTATGTTTATAGAGAGTCTGCCAAAGTTTAACAAATTTAGAAAAAAAATCCTTAAGACCAGGCCTGGGTCTCATGCACATCTTTAAAAAATCTCTTGCACACAGGATGCAGACAGCCAGCATCATCTCAATCTGTCTCATCAGGGATGGGAGCTGGATTGTCCAGATCCTTATGATGGTGAAAATGACCTCCCAGCATTGAGCTGTTCATACCAGGAATTTGAACACCGCAGCCTCCAGAGGGCCTCAGAGTGGTGTAAGGGGCAGTTTGTTTTTGTGGACCCCACAAGACAAATGGCAGAACTCTTCTTGTCCTAGGGCCCCTCACTTGAGGTGCCTACTTACACACCCCTCATCCTGTGATATTTGAGATCACCCCCTCTTGGGCAAGATCGTGATCTCAATGTGTCCAGAGCAAGATGTTGAGTAGAGTGAGACAGTTTGTCATCTTCCTTGTTGTCACTTACTGCAAGGATCAAAAGCAACACTGTTGGAGAAATGGGAAAGACTTATGCTGGGCTGTCCAGGGAGCCCTCAGCCTCTATAGGTATCTTTTTGCTTTGCAAAGGAAGTAAACAGGGCTGGAATTGAGCCAGGCTCAGTTTAGGGAGACACTAATATCTGCTTTCCCTATTTGCATCATGACAGGCACAGATCGGTAGAGTATATTCTAGGACATTCTTAGAGTTCATCTTTGTCACCCTCTGTGTGACACATGCTGGAAGGCTCTTATTTAATGTGAGGGTCGAAGTCTTTCCTTTCTCCTGATGAGTTTCATAGGAACAAGTGGTTTTCCAGATTAGATTGGACAGTTGTGTTAGTTTTTCCCTTTGTGACAATTACTTGAGATAAATAATTTAAAGGAGGAAAGATTCATTTTGGCTCACGGTTTCACAGGTTTAAACTCATGTGGTCGGCTGGCTTCAAGGCAGAAATGGATTGGTCTTATGAAGAAAAGCTGTTCACTTCCTGCAGCCAGGAAGTGGAGAGAAATCAAAAGAGCCCAAGAAAGTTACACCACTGGGGGACATGCTGCGGTGTCTTACTTCTCTCACCAGACCCCACCTCCCAATAGCCCATCAGGCGTGAATGTAAGAATGGATGAATCTGTCGATGAGCTCAGCACCTTTATAATCCACGTACCTCTCTAGGTGTTTCTTTTTCCTCATCTTTCATATTGAGTATAAGTGACAAAATCATACACATCTAAGGTATGCAATATTATGTTTTAAGATTCATATACATAGTGATATGATTCCTACAGTTAAGCTAATAATATACCTACCACCCATATACTTACAGTATTTTAAAATTTCCTCTGCTGAGAAACATTTCATAATAGTGTAATCAGAAAATACTCTTAAAAAAAGAGAAAAATATGCTCAGCATCTCATTCCCAGAGACAGATTAAAATGAGAATGCCATTCTAGGTAATTTTCAAAAATTATTTTGAGACGGTCTCACTAAACCACTAAGTTGCTAGGCAATTTTTTGGTATCTCTATACATTAATGCATTTTTGAAAATAAAACATTGGCAATGCCATATACGCTGTTTAGTAAAGTGTTGTTTCACTTAACAATGTAGTGGACACCTCTTTACCTCAGTGAACTCATGTCAACATTATGACCCCTTGTGTTATAATAACTCTTCATTTCCTACATTACCTTCCCTTACCCATCCATCTCCCCTCCCCCTTATTTCCTTCCTCTTGTCTAATAAGTTTTTCTTCTACCTAAAGTCATCCTTTTTAGGTTCCGTATATTACTGAAAACTGATGTTTGTCTTTCTGAATTTGTCCTCCTTGTGTGAATCTCCCAGAGTGATGTAAAAGACAGCTGCCTCCATATTGGGAGGGGATCAGCAGTCCAAAGAAGGACTCTGCAAGTCCAGCTTGGAGAAGAAGTTTATTGAGCGCTTATTAACAAAACAGTGGATGACGTCTGGGCTGCAGCACTACTGAGTGGCCAATCCCTCTTTGTTAAACTACCAGTTGTTTTTTTTTTTTGGTACCAGGGATTGAACTTGTGTCCTTGCACTTGCAAGGCAGGCCACTGAACTGCTGAGCTAAATCCCTGGCCCTACACTGCTAGTTTTTATAGGGCTCTAATTAAACCAGCAAAAAGCAGGATCAAAAGCAAGAAGGGTCCTTGGGAAAGTTGTGTGTACCCCATTCCCATCCCTTCCTTATGAGGAAATTGGCTGATCTCAGGGAGCCCTGTCAAGTTGCAGTGGTGGGTGACCTTGGGCTTTAGCACTTGGTGGTGACCCACAGTACTGATAAACGGGCTGCTTTTACTTACTTACTTTGGCTAGCTTTCAGAGGACAGTTCTCACTACAATCTGCGATTTCTTCTGGTTTGTGTAATCTTTCCACTGAGTTCTCAGAGGCTGGGAGAGGGTATTTTCTCTTTTGGCTGAGAGCTGAGCACTGGGCTGTTATGGCGCAGCAACAGTCCAGACTGTGTCAGCAGAAATGACATGAAAGACATCAATCAAGAGTTCAAGTCTCCAATAAAGTGTGCATGGGTCAGGACTGTTTACAAGCTTCCTCACTCATGGTGTTTAAAGGAATGCCCTGTCTTGGTTCCAGGGGTTCCATAAAGTTATTTCAATTTTTAGATGACAAAGGCAGCACATTCCAGGGCCTGGCCACTTGATTGGAGAGGGGAGGTTTACCACATACCAACAGGTGGATTTATTATGGGTTTTTGCTGTGGTTGCTGCCCATGGCAAGAAGAGGTTTCTCTGAGCTGTGGTTGGCAATAGCAGTAATCTCTGCATGTAGACGCAAATGTTTAGATGCCATTTTCCCTGGAACATCATGTTATTCTACCAAATAACAGCAGTGGATTCTCCCCTGGGGCCTATGACTTTCCCAGCCTTGGGTTTGTCTTGCTCAACTGCCCCCAAATATAGGTCACTGACCTTGGAGTGGCCTTAAGGTTTACCTGGAAAGCGGTTGATTGCACCCAGGCCAGTTGTATCACTATTGTACCAGTACGCACATGTCTGCCTTGTGATAGGGTAAACACATGTGGCCTATGGCCAAGCAGGGTCATTGGTGACAGTTTTCCCCCAGCAGCCTGTGTAGCACTGTTCAGTAGTACAAATGCTGGCTAGTAGAGAGGAAGCTTGCAGTTCAGTCTCAACTTTATTTTTCCATGTCCTGTAACCACAGTGTATGATGGCTTCAGTACTAGGGCTCACTGTCCTGTTCTGTTGTGCAGCCAACTGCAGGGGCAACTGCCCGAATACTACAAGGCCTCAAATGCCTTTCTAACAAACAACTCAGAGAAGTGGTCACTCCTTGTACTGGGACTTCTGTTTAACAACCTTATGGCTTCTGGAAGTGCTACACCCCCGCCCAGTACCTTTAAAAAATCTTTTAACTGCTGTTTTAATTACACATTTAAAAAAAATCAAGCCAGCTCCTGTAGGTTTGTAAGGCAATGGAAAGTATCATTGTGCTTGACTGAACTCGGCTCAGTTTTACACGTTGTTGTTAGAGAAATGAGTGCCTCTTCACTGTCAATTGCTTTGTGGGCACCTTCAGAAGCTTGGAAGGACACTGAACATAGTAATGATCCCATGGCATTGGTCACGGGTTAGCAGATAGGGATTTATGCTGCTGCAAGCATGTGTACCATTTTTGCAAAGCCTGATTTTGTGCCATTCTAGAGAGGATTGACTAAAAGACCATTAATCCAGCCCTTTGTTGGATATGGTGTTTTTCTGTCATCATTACCAACCAGAACCCAGTAAAGACAGCCACAGCCTGACAGCTACATCTCCTGACTGACATCTAGCTAGGCAGCCTGACACATTCATTCCCTGTATCAAACTGGGTTTGGACTCCAGCTTGAGTTCAGTCTATGGCCTGGCCTCTCTACCGTCTCCAGTTTCCTGGTGGTGTCTGCCCGAGCACTGGCACTTTAAGAGGTTTATCCCAATTCTCCTCCTCCTGTATTTTACTGACACAGGTTTAAGCTCGGAGCTCAGCTCACGATGCTACTGTAAGAAGGGGCCATTTCATGACTGCTGTGTTCTCACTGAGCTCTTGATTCTCCCTTACACATATTTCTCATTAACAAATAACAATACTTCCCCCAACCTTTGGGGAAATTTTGGGCATCCTTGTACTCACATAGTAGTTCTCAGACATCCAAAATAGTCACCACCTGTATTAATTAGAGTTCTCGAGAGGAACAGAATCAATAGAAAACAAATGCATTATTATGAGAGGGAATTTATTAGGTAGGCTTACAAGATCTGAGTTGGGAGAGTCCACTTGACTATTTGTATAACAAAGAGCTGGACATTCTAGTAATTATTCAGCCCAAAAATATGTAAGCTGCAGAGTGGTTAAGGCTGCATCACTAGTCCAAGGTCAAAGACCTGCAAGCTCATTGAAGGATCAGCACTGTGAGTCTGCTTTAGGAGGTTGAAGAAATGAGACCAATACCTAAAGTAATGGCAAAGACTGGAACTTCCAATGGGAACTCTTTCTTTTTCCTTCCCTTTGTATTCTGTCCAGGCTGCAAGCCTCATTGTATGTGATGTGACACCCACTTCTAGGATGGGTCTTCTTCTCTCAGTTTGCTGGGCTACACGTTAATCACCCAGGTACACCCAGAACTAT